TATTATTATATTGTATTTATTGTATCTCCAGCATAATGACATGACTCAAAGTAATGGTTGTATGTCATAATTTACACAAATGTATTTTCAGATAACGATTACGTTTTGTTTCTTCAAATGTATTCACTTTCTTTCACTTTAAAGCCCAGTGTTTTTATTGAGCTGGATCCTGAATTCATTCAACCTACTTCTTTGCTTACTTCTGCATCAGCAGGCTGAACCGTGTCAGTCTCAGTGATTGGGCTGTCAGAGCACACTGACCGATTAAGTGAACACTTCTTTTGATTAACTCTAATGACTGACTACACTCTGAAGTACTGCAGTGCCTGTTGCTACACCACTCACGTCCTTCACCATGTGAGGAGCAGAGCTCCAAAAATTTTTTTTAAAACTTCTAACAAGAAACGAAGGCTGCATGAGACGAACGTCTCCAGTCAGGTTTGTGTGCAGTGGTGCAAACTAGAATAGAGTCTAGATCAGGAGTCTAACTTTGTTGAACTCCTCCTCAATGGGTCTAGACTGTCAATCCAAATTTTTTAAGAAATAATAAAAAAATCACAAGTCTATTTCAAGGACTGCGATAAAAGGTATGAAACATAATCTAAAATGCAGTTCAATCTCAGCATCATCTAATTCACACTGGAGACACACTAAACACTCAGAGTAAATGGAGTATCCACAGCCAAAGGCAAAATGCCAGATCTTAAATGAGTCTGAGTTTGTTCACTTTAAGACTGACGTGGCTCCAATGGGAAAGGATATTTTAAAGTGCAATTACATTTATGTGTCAGTATGTCTATGTTTAAGACTCGGCTTCTTTAACAACACCATCTTGGCCACGACGGGCCTCTGTGAAGGGATTTTAAACATAAATGAGAAAAAGAATTGTTATACCCTGCCTTTATTGTAAACCATGAAGCTAAACATTGATCTGGCATTGGCTGCATCTAGAGGAGCTGGAACACAGGAGAACTGTCACTTAGACCCGGGCAAGTGATTCTACCAGATAGATAGACCTTCATTTGTCATTTCACAAGGTAGGAATACACAAGTGAAATGAACATTGTTTCTCAGCAGCAGAGCAGGGATATGAAATAAATGATGCTAAATAAGAAATGCTAAAACAATCTTGGCACAGAAAGAAATACACATATTAAACATGTAGACACCGGAGTAACAAACACACGAGTATTAGTGCCAGGTTGCAGCAGCAGCAGCAGCAGTAGTAGTAGTAGTAGTAGTAGTAGTAGTAGTAGTAGTAGTAGTAGTAGTAGTAGTAGTAGTAGTAGTAGTAGTAGTAGTAGTAGTAGTAGTAGTAGTAGTAGTAGTAGTAGTAGTAGTAGTAGTAGTAGTAGTAGTAGTAGTAGTAGTAGTAGTAGTAGTAGTAGTAGTAGTAGTAGTAGTAGTAGTAGTAGTAGTAGTAGTAGTGAGTGTGACAGTATAGATTTGCACAGTCATAGTGGTATGGATATGTGAGTGTGGGGCTGGGGGGGAGTAGAGCACAGTCCATTTATGAGTGTGTCAGACATAAACCTTATTTGTTTTCAGTACTTTTGGACGGAACCTTTGTCACTATTTGTCTAAATCGGTGTGGTTCTACAATAATTGTGATTGATTTCACTGCCTCGAGCAGTAAGTGCAACATAAGGAAGCAGTACGTTGTAACCTACAGAGCACATACTTCCTCCTTCTTCACCATCTTCAAAGCTGTGTTTTATTACTTCCTTAGAAGCCGGCGTTGTGCCTTCATTAGCCCAACAGCAGTTTTTCCTGCCCTGAAAAACAACTGTCCTCACAACATGTTTAGGGTTCATTAGCACCACATGGTACTTTTAATGATAGGAATGCTTTATATGACACAATAATCCAAAACTCTTACACGTCAAGGGGTTTGCTGTTGTGAAGTCATCCTGATGTATTTTAAGTCGAGGGGCTGTTGCCTATCTAACAGTTCTTAAACATTATCACTCCTGTTAGAAAAAGTTTTTTCATCACTCTAACTATATGTCCTTGAAAAGGTGATTTTTTTTTTCATTGCTTTAATGCAGTCACAACCAGGATGTGGTTGTTTTTATGTTCATTGATGTTAAAGTCACATACTGTATGACTGCTGCATCCAATCAGGATTCAGACAGCGTAATATCAGAGAATCTGGATTTAATCACATAGTATATATAAAAGTTTTTTTTTTTTTTCTTTTTTTTTAATGGAAGAAAACAGCTAGAGAAACCCCACACATAGATACAACACACTGAAGAAAATGTAAATGTCATGTGAATAACTGATCTAAGTTGGTTTAAAATTTGTGGCTGTGCATACGTTTTTGTCACACTCAAATCTCAGAGACAAATTCTTCCTATTTTAATGTTTAAAAATGTTTTATATTTAATGTTTTGACTCATAACCAAAATATAGTGAAATAAATTTCAAGCGAGGTCCAAACTGACATGGTGAACATGGCTGGCATAAGCCTGCTAGCATTAGCGGAAATCCATACTGCGGCTAAAGCATGTTAGCATGCTGACATTAGTATTCAGCTTCAACTCTGTATTTCACAGGACTGCCAACATGGCAGCACTTCAGGTCTTTGAGCTGAATAACTAATTCATCTTTCTGTTAATGAACTCAAAAGCACAGTTTGACTACAGCTCACGAGCAAAATAATGTGCTACTGGTCTCCATTGGAACTTCATCGTAAAAGAATATGTATTTAATTCATCTGTGCAAAATAGAAATTTGTTTTCCTCTGAAACACTTTTGGTTTAAAGACTTGTAACACATACATCGATCCTATGGGATGTTGACATTAATAAGCCGCCTCTACATTTACATTTGCATGAAGGGATGAACCGAGCCCTTTATCCCTTTGTCTGATGGATCTGCATGAAATCTGGTTTCACGCCTCAGTCTGAGGTCACCACGCAGATACCCGCTGTTCTCCATTTTGCTCACACAGAAAACGGGTGTCACGATTTAATAATGGTGATAAATACAGCGCTGTCGAACGGCAGTGATGCTTGTGCAAGGCCCATGTAGAATAAACTGTGATGGAATCAGTACAAAGGTAAAAGACTACACAGGAAGAACAACATTTAATTAAACAAAGATTAAAACTGTTTTATATATATATATGAGGTTCTTTTTTTGAGAAAAAATATAAATGTCTGCCTATTCAGCAAAACATGACTGTCAAGATTTTTGTCTTGGAGACTTATTACTGAGACTTATGAGGTGTTGAGGACAGTGTGTGCGATTACACACACATCATAGAAGAATCTTTATAGTTGGCTCATTATGTGTAATTTATTAGACATAAAAAAACGTGCAGTTGGGTGTTAAAAAAAAATGTTACAACATCATTATTATGTTATGTTTTGTTGTGTTTTTAAAAGTCTAGGTCATCAGCACTGGAATCTAAGGCAGGTGCTGAGACCTGGACACAAGAACTTCAGGTTCTAGGCAACTGAAATGCCTAGAACCTTGTTCTTTTTTCTGCTACATCATGAATACTTGTGACCAGCTGCTAACATCTGAGGTGAAAAAGAAAGCAGAATTACTCCTTTATCCCCCTTTGCAAGCCCAGGTGGAGACAGTTGGCGTGGCTATTAATGAAAAAAGACAAGCTAAACCCGGTGGGCTCAGATCGGTGCAGGCCACTGACATCACTGAGTATTGTTTTATGTATCACTCGTCTCTCTTAAGCTCAGTGCTGTTCCCACGGACTCCTTGAATCTGCAGTATTCCGGTAACCTTGCTCTGCTTCCTTAAACTTTTCCCACACAATATAACATGAATTCAAATGTGGTAGAGAGTTGAAGGAGCTCTTTCTCCTGTAACCTGCTCATGAACCTGGTAAATCTAATGTTGTTACAGTAGGTTTAGCTCCCAGGTCTTCTGAGAGGTGCAGCCTTTAAAGCCTTTCACATTGAAGTCCTGTGGTACACGCCGTGTCTGTATCAGGGAAATCTGTGTGGACATTGGTGGCACAGATGCCCCATGAATTGAAGAGCCTCTAATAAGAAGGAGGAGTAGGGACCGGAAACAAGCAAAGAAACAGACTATGAGGGGTCGTCACGGCAAGTTTGTTGGCGTGATGGCTCCCATTGTCACCAGGACGGAGCAGGAGGACAGGATCCGGATGGGGGACGGGCATCGTTAATGGGCCTCACACTGAAGCTGTCAGCGGGGGGTCCTTCCAGCCACATGCGACCATACTGCTACAATCACACGTGCATTTCAATGATGATATGTGGACCATGCATTAGCGCTGTAGCATGCTTGAGCATGATTGAAGGCATGTGGGTAAATTTATTTCATGCATATGCACACTCACACTCACACTCACACTCACACAGTGGCTTACACACACACACTTACAGTCCCTGCTGTATACTGAGGCTGAAAGCCTCTAAAACTGCAGTCTTGGCCATTATATCTCACCCATGTGGTTTTATTTATTCTGTAAGAAGTTTTCTTTAAATATGTTTATGCATTTATTTCACACATTTGTATTTGAATTGACATTTCAGTATAAATACCTGCAGGTAAGGAATAGTTTTTGTCAAGTTTCACAAAGGTTTCATTCTGACAGATTTTTCAATTTAGTTTTAATGGCAGCTCCGTACCTCTCATCACCACGCAGCACAATGACTGAGGGGCTGATTTTATATTTATATTTCTGTTGTAATACCCGCATACTATACCCTAATAAGGAACACAAATAAATTATTAAGATGCTGTTGTTCATTTTTTTCTAAAGTTTAATCTGTTTTATGGTTAATGTACTGTAATATAAACTCAGCGTTGAATTTATATATATAAAAAAACCATTACAAACATTCTATTTTTTTTTGATAATATCCATCAGCTCCATCTGTTTCTCTTCCCTCTGGTCTGTTTCTCTGTGTTAATCAGTGTCACCTCCTACACCTGTTCCCTGTGATTACCTGTTCGTTAGTCTCACTCGTCTCACCTGTGTTTCTCTCTGCTCTCCACTCCAGGCCATTTCCTTTCCTGTGTTCCTGCCTGGCCTGTGTTCCCTCATTTTGTGTTGGAATTACTGAAGGTATTTAAGTTTGGACTTTGAAAAATAAACTTTCTGCCCCTGATGCTCACTTCCTGTTCTGCCCACTTATGTAACAAAGTAAAAAAAAAGTGTTTTATAATTTAAATGTCTAAAACCAGTCACATCTATTCTTTCCCCACGCTGCCATAATTGTGACGTTTAATAGCCTATGTGCAGTGAATGACAACACATTTTTACCTGGGATTGTAATTTTCTGCACTTGACTGCATCGATTCCACCAGTTCTTTTTTAAAACAAATTTTGCACATCCCCAAGCAGCACTCAGACATTTCTTTTCTTTTTTCTTTTTTGCACAGCTCTATTAAATCTAATCTTTTTTTTCCTCATGCAAACTTCAGCTTTTGGTAAAAAACAAAAAAGGGGAAAAAAAAGAACATTTACATTTGTATGCAGTACATCAGTATATGCAGGAAAAGTAGGAAGACAAACACAGCAGCACATGACGCTGCTGGAGTTTGACTGGTCCACATGTTTGTTTGTCCTGGCACATACTGTATTTATGTATATGAGATGACCTATAGGCATATGTGAGCATGTGTGTGGGTTTTGTGGGAAAAAACAGTGACAAGAAGTTTATTCTCCCTCTCTTACCCACCATACCCACTCTGATCCTCTTGAGATGATTATTAATGTAATAATTAAACATTTATTGCCAACAGCACCTGCTCTCTCTCTCCCTCCTGGACCCTCGGGGGACCCCATCTCACAGTCAGAGAGAGAGAGTGAGAGGAAGAGAGCTGCAAAAGCGGGAGGGAGGGACACAGGAGGAGCCAGAAGGAGGGGTTGGAGAGCGCGGAGCAGCAAATCCAAAGGGGTCATCATCACATTGCTGGATTCTTTTACACCGGCGAGAGCTTGTTCTTTTTGTGTGGTGGCAGACAGCCTGTGAAGTTATGTGATCCCAGAACAAAAGGAACAAGGAGGAACGAACAATCCGATGCTGACAAGGAAGTGGAGGAACTCACAGCAGGGGGCGGGGGGCCACGGTTATTCTGACATCAGGAACCAATTCATCACCTGAACCTGATTTCATTTTTCTGCAGTTTCCTCTCTTTTTTTGGCAATTTGAGTAAATTTTCTTTTTCACGCTGGAAATAGAAAGACACTTCTTTATTTCAGCTTTTTCACCAAGGGTGAAGTCAGAGACAGTCACCAGTTTGTAGACTCTCACTGAGGCTGAGGAACTGAAGAACTTAGGACCACAGGAGTGCAGGTCCCTGTGAGGGGGCAAAATGTTGCGCTATTTGATCAAGACTCTGCTGCAGATGAACCTGTTCAGCGACACCATGCGAAACCCATCCAACGGCACTGATCTGTTCTACAACATGTCTCTGCCGTCCTTCAACAGCTCTCTCCTGGACTGGGGAAACTTCACCGGCTTCAACGGTAAGATGATGGCATTTACCTCAGTGTTCTCTCCTGCATCCCTTCCCCTCTCCCTGCTTGTGTTGGTCTTTCCTTATGTCACACGTGTATATCATCAGTTATTAGTGTTTTTATTTTATTTTAATTTTTAATATTAATTGATGGTCAAATAACTCATTCCCATGCTGTCTGTCTATGTACATAGACCTCCCTTATAGTATGAAGTTCAGCAGTTGATTACAGTGAAATCACGGTGGGATAATGCCTTGCCTTGTCAGTGTGTTTTGTAGCCAGTGAGTAAATTTTGACTGACGGACAAAGATGGAGAGAAAGAAATTTGGAGACTTTCATAACCCGATAACCTGCTCTGTTTTGCTGAGGCGTGAGCCGGCAGTCAGTAGGTGCTGGTAAAATGGAGCTGTCTGCTGTCAGGCATGATGGACCAGAGCTGTCACGTCCTCTTAACTTTTGCCACTAAGCTCTTTTCTCTCTTCTTCTGAGTCGCTGCCAAGGCTCATTCCTGCAGCACTGGTCTCTGTGCTGCTGTATATGAATTTCACTCAGAGTGAGGTGCAGCTCAATACAGTTATGGAGGGAATTTGACTTAATAGTGTGTTGGCAAGGGTTTAATTCCCTGTGAGGGAGCTGTGAGCTCTCGCTCTCACTCTCTCTCTCTTTCACAATATATATATATATATATATAAACATAATGAGTATATATATCTATATATATATAAAAAAGAGCGAGGGGTCATTTAACATAACGCTCTGTGTTTTGTATAGTGTTTAGTCCAAAGTCTTGTATCTTCTTTTAATGAGGACTGCTTTGTCTTTATATCACTGTATACTAATGAATACAGATGTGTAAAACCACTGTATTTCATGGTCAAAGTCCTTTCCTTCCTTTTACATTTCTTTCTTTCTTTGTTTCTTTCTTTGTTTCTTTCTTTCTTTCTTTCTTTCTTTCTTTCTTTCTTTCTTTCTACAAACCCTGACCCTTTTCTTGGTTTTCTTTCTTTGCTATGGTGTGGAAATGTTTCAAAGGAAATATTTCAAAGGACACATTTACCTGAATTGTAAATGACTGTAATATCCACCTTTAATCTAAAAAAGGTTTCAAATTGCTTCTGAGCAACATCGTCAGCAGCAGCATCAGCAGCAGCATCAGCATCAGCAGCAGCAGCAGCAGCAGCTGTACCATGCTCCTGCTCTGAGCAGCTGATCTGCTGCTGCCGGCTTTATTGATAATGCTGAGTTTATGGCTTCTCCTTCTCCTTCAGTGCCCCTCTACACTTCTCTTCTTTTCTCCTTTTCCATCCACATGCTGTAATGGAGTGTAGATTGAGCGTGGGGTGCACTGCTCAGATCTATAACAGCCCGATGACAAAGTAAGCATGAGACGGGGAGAAGGAACAATGAATCTATTTGAAAAGAATCTATCTGCTGCAGAGACCACTGATAGGCTGATAGTCAGACGTGCCCGGTGTACTACTGACTTCATAATCTCTGAGTTCTCTCTCTCCAGAGCTCTCACAAACACCGTCTCTCCTTCCTGCAACCTTTAAGTGACATCGATGCATTCAGGGAGCTGTGGGAAGATGTCATGGATTGACGAGTTAGAGATCAGCGAAACGGAGTATTTAGGTTGTTTCTATTGTGAAATGCGTGTGAGGGATAAGGAGGTTATGGATCGACTACACAGAGAGAAGGAAAGGCAAACACTGGTATCTAAATTTCCAGCTGCTAAAGAAATCAATGACTCTGTTTGCCAACAAAAAAAGTATAACCAGCAATTTAACTCCCACAGAAGGCTCATTGTCATTGCTTGTCCTGGTGTGGATTGATCCGCCTCATTATATTTCTATCTTATACTTTAATAGAGATGTTTTCCCAGCCTTTGTGTGCTGGTCTGTGGGAGGGGTGAGGGGGAGGACGGGGGTCTACAGTGGCGGTCAAGCCGTGGGTATCCAGGCGAGAAGCTGGAAAGCAAAACAGTGGGTGGACAGCTTCTGTGGGACGACCTGGAGCTCAGAGGGAGACTCAATGAGAAAATCAATGCAGACCAATAACCAATTTAGGAAATAATGGACAATTCGCTCAAAGACAGCAATATAGTGGACTGTTGGACACTGGCAACTTTATCTATTAGCATTTTCACTCATTCACACTCTGTGCTGCTCTATCCTCACACCTTTTCCTTTAACTCTATTGACAGTTTACTCTGGGATTTCAACTCCCACAGCCGAGGCACGGAGCCCGACCATTACCTGATTACAACTGACAGACGGGTTTGTCGATTGATCGGTTCACTGATTGTTGTGCGGGGTGATTATCGGGCGAAGTTAAATGACTCCAATGGTCCGTTTTATTGTTGTTTTATTTAAAAGGACCGAGGTGGAAACCTACCAAGCATTGATACCTCCTTAATTTGCCAACTCACCCACACTTCCTCATCTCCACACTCCTGATTGTGCTGTGGGCACAGAGCCCGACTGTGATACATCCATAATCCATAAGAGACTGCAGATTCTCTGCACGGGTCAATAAGTGTTAAGACAGGCGCTCTTTGGGGAGCCAGTGTACTTTCTGGAAACAGAGCATTGAGAATATCTGGCTTCTGAATAAATATGGAAATTTTAATGAAAAAGCAGCAAGCCTGGAACACGGTCCTTTTTATTTCTTTCTCTGTTTGTTTCTCCACTGTTCACGACACTTGTCTTCCTGGTGATGAATATGGATTTTAAATGCTTGGACTTTTGCTTTGTGTGTGTCCACACATACATTGGCATGTGGGAATGTATGCAGCTGGTTACCAAATGTCTGCAGCTGCACCACAATTTTATGCATGTGTGTTTATGTATTTTAATTTATGGGAACTAATACAGACATTTGTCCCCTTAAAAGACTCCCCTCTGCTCTGTTCACTAAAAATCTATCATGGAGTCATCATTAAGTCAGTGTGTGTGTGTATGTGTGCGTGCATTTCTCATCGCTAATTACTTCCAAATATTTCTCCATGCAAATCCCCACCCACACCCACTCACACACAGATCTCAGCCACTGCGGACTTGTATTTGTGCAGAGTGTGGAGCGGAGCTGCTTGCTGAATCTTTATCAGCTCCGATCAGCCTTTCGTACAGTCAGCCCTGTTCCATTTGTGCCGCTGACTTCAAACACAGGCTCTCCAAACTACTGAGAGGCGTGTCAGCGTGGTGCCTGAATCCCACCAGGAGCTTTGACAGCAGGGTTAAACTTCCTTTAACACCGAACCAGAGGCTTAGAGTTTAATGCTTCACTGATGATGTCACTGTGGGACAGAATGATTCAACCCAGCACCTGCTTAGGTGTAAATACGAGGTGCAGAGGGAAAACAGGGACAGAGTGAGGGGGGCGTTTTGGGCCATGAAGAGTTACTCTAATCAGACCGCAGCCTCATCACTCGACTCATTTTGAAAATACAGTGCAGCCTTCTATTGTTGTATTCAGCAGTGGTGAAGTTCATAAGGCCGGCTCAGTACCTTTTTTTCTCCTTGAGCCTGGGATTTTCACTCACTAGGAACATCAGACAGAAAGGACGACGCTGTCACAGCATTAATGTGACAGCGTCTGTCTGACAGTACTGCACTGTGAAGAGGGATGATTGTTTTTAATGAAAATATATCAACATAGAGTTGATATATTGAATGATTTATTTATTATCTAATCAATTCTTGGAAGTGCTGCTTCTGCAACCGGGAAGTAAGAATGTTTCCCAGGATTTTATTTATTTATTTAATGTTATGAAAAGGGTACTTTCTAGTTCTTTCTAATCTCAACAACTGCAGAAACAGGATTAGCGATTTCTCCACTGGCACTATTTGCTCAATATAGCCTTAGTTCAGGAAAGACTACCAGTAAAGGTAAACATCACATTGAAGTGTTCTGTCCAATAGTGTCAGGGTTCGTCTGTGTGTGGTATCAAAAGAATTCTGCTGCATTTTGGTGGTTTGTTCCAACTTGGAAAACAAGATATAAGAACCTCTGGGGAACATTGTTAAATTGTTGGATGTTGGTTTGAATTATTACAAGTTTGCACCATTAAGGAAAAGGTCCATTGATAGTTGAATTTTATTATTTCCTCTCACTTTGTGTCAAGATTTGATTGATGTGATTGGTGTGTGACACTACTGCCTGTCACAAAATTTGATGTAAATTCATGACTTGACTTAGAACCTAAGTGACATGGAGTTTTCTGTTTTAGTCCTGACTTTATATCATTTTAAATAAAAAAGAGTTAAGTTGTCGGTTCCTCTGTTTTGCTGCAGCGTCCTTGTGCGTTCTGAAAGGCTCCTTCAAATAAACTGTATTATTGTTTCTGACTGTATTGAACACAAAAGAAGTCAGGTTTTACTTGAAGTCAGCGCTCAAATCCAACTTAGGCTTTGATATTGATAAGGCTTTGATATAGCAGTTCAAATGCAGGACGTCTTTTCTTACTGTTTCCCCATCTTCACACCTCCTGTATCTGTCCTGTCTTTTCCTTTTTTTTCATATAATATCATTGTTATGATCTAATGCTTGTTAAACTGACGGACCAACTGTGTAAATCCTGTTCCAGATATAGTCGTCATTCCAGCCACAATACGATGTTCAAATTCCTTTTACTCTCATTGTAGAGTAATACGATTTTTTTTTAAATCCATGGGAACAATAAGACTTTACTTTACTACTCTCTGTGCTCACTACGATTCTGTCACTGTATTTTCTTGTATTCACTGGGAATGTCTGGCTCATGGAAATGCATTACTAATAGAGTTCTGGAGAGCTTTTGGGAAGCCAAACATCTTTATTCATAGCGTGCGCCAAGCTCAGGGAACCACCAGTTGTCTCTCCTCATGCTCACCTCAGCTTAACTGAGCCGAGAGCCGAGCAGCCAACTGCAGCTGTGGTTGGGGAAAGGAGAGAGTGGGTCATTGACTAACCAGAAGGTCACTCCCTTCACTCTGCATACTGAAGTGTCCTTGGGCGAAACACTCCTGCCT